ATCTAAACAATTGTTTCTGTGAGAGACAATTATAACGAGTTTGGCCCCAAATTGGCAAATCACTACATTATATCAACAACCAGATACTCTTATAACACTTATAAAGCAAATTTAGGATTTCTGTAGAGTATAATGAAAAGAGGCTATCAAACAAAAGATAACAACTGAGCAGATTTTGCTTCTGAGAATGCTCTAATGGAACACACTGAGAAAAATGCGACATGCTTGGATACGTGGTATAAGGAAAAGACAAATATTATGCATCATATTGTGGCATGTCACTAACGCATTACGTTTTGATGATCAAAAACACGATGGCTCATGAAAAATATCGTCCAAGTCTTTTTTATCAAACGTAAACGAGTTTATCTTTTTTTTTGGACAACCGAGTTTGAGTTTGTCTAACAAGCCAATTTATTGAGAATAAGTAAGTGGAATATCACAAAATAAATATAAGAACTGACACTAGATATTAAAAAACAAAGACACTTGCACAATGAACCAAATGATCGATGCTTCCATGATGTACACAATTCTTCTTGAACTTGTCGTTAATAATAGAAAGTTGCTCGTTGACGTTCTCAGAATGTTTGTGCACGTCTCATCAACTTAGAATCGTGTAGACATGCCTCCACGATTTCGTTGGATGGAGTCAAAAACAGGGGAAGGAATTTGTAGAGGTGAACGTATAGAAAAGCTTTGCTATATATACAACCCATGACCCCATTTCTTACAACACAAACCAAAACAACAAAATCATAATGAGATCTTCTTCTAGGATGGGGCCTTCAGCCCATCCCATTTACGCTCTAGGTGTTATCATCATGGCAACAATGGTTGCAGCATATGAACCAATCACGTATAGCTTGCCTCCTCTCCCATCGTATTCACCATCTCCAAAGGTAGAATACAACACTCCTCCTCTACCAAATGTCTACACTTCTCCACCACCAGCACCATACTACTCTCCATCACCAAAGGTTGATTACAAGTCACCACCACCACCATATGTCTACACTTCTCCTCCACCACCACCATACTATTCACCATCTCCTAAGGTTGAGTACAAATCTCCTCCTCCACCGTATGT